TGGGGGTGCATTTGTGGGGGGGGGTATGGGGTTTGTGAGGGACTGTGGGATGTATGGAGAGGGTGTATATGCATGTATGTGAGTGTGTGATGGGGTCTGCATGTGGGACCCCCTTACAAACACCCTGCCTCATGCACACACCCCTCCATTGCACACAACCCCTGCCAGCAGCAGCAGCAGGCCCTCGGGGCACTCACGGCCCGCAACAGGCAAAGCCCCCTGGCACGATGCAGTCCCAGGAAGCCTCAGGACTTCATGTAGCTGGGCTGCCAGCTCCATCGCACGGGGCTCACATGCCTGAGCCCTGCATAGTAAAGCTGGCAGCACAGGTCATGGGGCTCGACCGGGGAAAGGGAGAGGAGCAGAGCTGGCCTGGCTCCATAGTGTGGAGTTTCCCACCACTCCACACGACCCACGCATAGCTGTGAGCAGGGCCAGGCCGGGCCAGGCCACCACTCCTGCAGAGGTGCACAGCTCAGACGTAGAACCTGGGAACTGCATGTGATCCCCACACAATGGGGCCAGGCAGACCCCGCGCCCCTGCCAGCCTGGGCTCCATGCTCCTGCCACCCTGCCCTGGGTCCCTGGCAGCTCCAGCCCTGGGGCATCATTGTGGGCCCTGTGCTCTGACCCAGCTGACGTTTCACTTCCACCCACAGCCTGCCCACCTGCTGCTGCCACTACCATCACTTCCCCCACCATTTCCCTACTTCCTGAGGGGCCAGGGTCAGGGCCATCCCACGGGCGAGAGTGGTAGTGCAGCAGAAGGGCTGTGACATGGGAGTGACTGCTAGGAAGCCCAGTTGCTTCATTCTTGCAGCTTCCTTCCCATGGTGCGTGTGCCCAAGGAACGAGAAGGTATTTAAAGAACAAGCCCAGGCTAAGGGGGAGGGGGTCTGGGTTACATGCTGCCCTGTAGCTGGAGTCAGACCTCAATGCAACAGGCTACAGCAGAGAAGCCAACCTTCAGGGGAGGGTAATTCCCAAATAGTCACTCTGGTTTGCATTTGGAGGTAAATGTCTTGGCTGTTCAAAAGCACCAAGTGTAGAAATCTGCACAGGGCGGAGGGAGCAAAGGAAGGCTCTTGCCCCCTTTATCCTCTTCTATCAGGGGGGAATTCACCCGTGTCAGACTGTGGGAACACTCAGTCCAACCTGTTCTAGAACACTGCTGGGACTGCTGTTGGTACCTCCCTGGTTTGCACGTGTGTGTACACAAGCCTGATGCTACTTCAAGCATGGCTTTCCAAAAGCGTTTCCCCCTTGACTACTGGGAAAAGGCCAGCGTGGATGTGCACCAGTGAGGCAACCATAGCAGCAGCTGTCAGCCCTGGGTTCTTCAGCGTGCCAGAGCTGCGCCTGCTCCTGCCACACAGTAACGCCCGCCTCCTACCCAGTGTAGACAGCAGTTGAAGTGCTTTGGGAGCAGAGCTCACCCTTTGCCCACAGGAGTCTGTTCCCTATGAAGACATGTCTGTGAAATCCAGGCATTCTTCACAGGCTCCACCCCCAGCACAAAGTAAGGAAATGCCTTGCCCCTGCCTGTTTAAGGCAGCTGAGATTGATATGAGTAGCCATGAGCCCAGGGCTCAGAACAGCTGAAAGCCAAGACAAGAGGCTCCTCACAGCTCCTTCTACAGTGTTCAGACACAAATACCACTCACATACCATATAGGACATCTTGCCCCCGCCTGCTTTCTGCTGGGACAACCACTACCAGAAATAGGTCCCTCCAGGTTGGGGACAAAGCAGCAGCAGATAGGTGACCTGTGCTGAGTGTTTAAGCACTGGGATAGTGACTGGCACCTCCACTTTCAAAAGGCAAGCAGTGCTAAAATTGAGGAGCCTAGATCTGCAACCCCACAGAGACCTGCAGCATCAAAATCCTTACAACACAGTGCAAGGGAACAGGCGCCTTATCTGAAGGCCTCTTACCCTTTGAAAGCCTTTGCCTGCAGAGGCATGAAGTAACTGGGCATGATGCCACCTTGCTAACAGGCAGCGTTAAATCCACAAGGCATCTTAGGGCTCACCTAGGGTCTGAGCAAGGCACCCACCTGCATAGCTCAGGTATTTATGGCTACAGCTGTGGGCTGGCTCAGCCAGGAAGCAGAACCAAGTGCATTTGACTTGACACACCGTGGAGGGGAGGAAGCCTCAGGGCAAGGCAGCTTGTGGAGACAGCAGCTCTATGGCTCCCTGTGACAAGGAATAACAGCGTGCGCTGAGGTGGGAGCCTGGGAGCTGAGAAACCACAGGGGAACGCAGGGACCTCTGGGTGTTTGTACATTGCAAAAGCAAGTGGGGAGCAATTCCCAAGCTATGCAGATGCATAAAACATGCACATGAGGATATGGCTCATTTGCATATGCTCCCTAGGATCCCAGGTACAAACTTCCACCAAAAGCAAAAGCACACACCCTCCCCAGACTACAGGCATGGAGCTGGCCTTCAGTCAGGCCAATGACCAGGGGTACAGCAGCCCTGGAAGAAGGCACATCACTGCTCCATTTCTCCCCAGCATTACAGTCCCTCTCCTCGCTGCTGAGCATCCGAGTAACAGAAGACCAGCAGAGCATCAGGCCAGTGGTAACGTGCCCTAAGGACCTTGTTTGAGAAGCACAGCTGGCACATGGGGGCTTGGGAGGTCTCAGGCAGGGGAAGCCCAATGCCACCAGCCTTTGTAGACACACAGTGAGGGAAGTGGGATGTACCCCTTGGTGTTGCTAGCTATGCAGCCACCTATTAACCACAGCCCCTGCCCACAGTGCATCTGCAGGCTTTAGACTCAGAGCAGTGCTCTGTCCCAAGAGGCTTGTCCTTCTCTGTTCAGGCTCCAAATCCCAGCATAGCTCTACCTGGAAGGTCAATGACCCAGAAGGGATGGGCAAACCATGCCAGGGGAAGGCTGCAAAGGGAGAAATGAGCCCCCTATGCTGCTCCTCCAGCTTTGGGACTCCCACAGTATTTTCCAGCTCCTCTCTCTGCTACCACCAGTGACTGGAGGAAACAATAGTTTAGTGACCTAATCAAAAGCAGCTGCCCAGAATACCAGAAGAATGATGAATGCATGTTAAGTCCCCTTAACAAAACCAGGTCTTATGAGGGACTAGTACACATTTCATCCATTCTTCCAAGAGACCAAAAGTGCTGTCCTGCCCTGGTCAGCCAAGCCCTCCCTCTTCAGTCACTAGAAGTGTGGTGCCCAGGGACTCTGTGCAGCAAAGCTAGGCCTGAGCCTAGGCTAAGCATAGACACCCAAGAGCTTGGAGATTAAGGCTAGGCAAAGAAGTAAGGGGGCTGGAAGGTGGCTGTTTGGGAGTGATTTGCTTGCAAAGATAGATTCACTCTTCCTCCTCCTCCCGCCTTTGCCTGCTGAGAGAAACACCAGGGTGGTGCCCCAGTTGCTTCCAAAGGATCACAGCTTTTGCAGAGCTGCCTTCAGCTTCCAGGTGCTGGGTGCAAAACCAAAGCGCTGCCCTGCCTTGGATCCCCTCTGGCTGCTGGAGGAAAGCAAAGCATGTACTCTCCTGACAGATTTTTCTAGATTTCCACCCCCTCCCCCCAAAAAATTATGCAGTTGCTAAATAGTCCCTAACCCTTATGGCTCTTTATATCAGCAAATCCCAACATCATTCCCTCCATTTTATAGGTTGGGAAACCTGAGGCACAGAGCAGGAAAGGGATGTGACCAAGGTCATCCAGCAGGGCAGTGGCAGAGCCAGAATGAGTACCCAGGTGTTCTGAGCCCCTGTCCAACGTCCCTCTCATTCAAATTGTGAATGTGGCAACACGCATGATTTGTTCTCAGTGCTTGCCAAGTTTGAAGTTTGGCAAGAGTGGCCCAGGCAGAAGCAGGTGGGGCTCAGCCTCATGCAGAGTGCTGCAGGGGTAGCCATGAGCCAGATGAGCAGAGAGTAGACTGCACCTTATTAGTCACACAACCACTCCCACATTTACTATGTTAGCAACCATGCAAGTGAAGAGGATCTTGCTCATTCTGTCCATTACTTGCAAAAGTTATTAATTCCAGAGCCAGAAACAAAATGCCTGCAAAATTAAGTACATACCAATGAAAACTGTGTTGTGTGACATAGATAGCAGCTTAGCACTACCAGCATGGAAAGATTTTAATAAAAGTATAGCTCAATCTATTCTTGAAAATACTCTATACTTCCTATTGCCTGTGGCCCAAAATACAGTTAATGTTTTGCAATAGACTCTGCCAGTAACAATAAGAGGAGAGGCCTATCCAACCTAGCAACTATTGTTTTTCGTAAGAATATGATGAAACTTAGTGTGGTAACTGCTGTACATCCTTCAGTTCAAATTATAACTACTCAAACCTACATGAAAGCAGAACATGGGCTGTAGGATTTGTTGCATGCTTATTAAGCAACACAGCTGTGTTCTGACACTTATTCATAACCAGAATAACCAGGGGCTGTGGACCTTGCAGGCTGTTCATCCTGGGCTTCCCCTGCAACCAGTTCAGGTATCAGGTATTGAGAAAACACGCAATGCCCAACCACCCCCAGCTAACCAGACAGAAAAAGTGATGAAAAAGGAGACACATTTTATTTCAAGATCTATATTTATTTCAAGAGCCTACAAGAGACTCACAAAAAGCTACTTAGACTCAGAACTGCGTTTCCTGGTGTAGTCTGCTAAACTTCACATGGAACTTTTACAGAATACATCAAGTGCTCTTCTTCAGGAGTTTGGAAGAGGCACCATCATAAGTAAAACTTCCAGGGGCAATAGCATCTTACTGCCAGACCAAACTAACTCACAGAAAGAACAGGTAGTCCACAGGACAACACACCTGGCAGACTGACAGAACAGGAGGTAAACAGTTAGAGGTACCATGTTAGCAGAAACTGAAATAAGTTTCAGCAAGACTTTGGTTTAGTTGAGAGCATTTGAAGGAATCTGCTGAAGGAGCTTTTCAATATCATCTTGGATCTTGATAGTTTCAAAGCGTCTGCTGTAACGCTTGAAAGGTATTCCATCAGGGCCAATGAGGAACTTTTCAAAGTTCCAGGAGATGTCATTCCTGCAAACTGGAGACCAGATGATGTGCTGTGGATTGGTCATCAGTGCCACTGGATCATCATGTGGGAAAGGCAGTGCCTCTTTCAAAAATGTGAAAAGTGGGTGAGCATTTGCTCCATTCACATCGCATTTCTCAAACATGGTAAAATTGGGCTCATAACCATTGCCAGGACGGACATACTTTAAGGAAAGCAGAATCTCATCATTGGTGGCATTCTCCTATGAAAAGAAAAAAACAGTATGATCCAGTATAAGGATAAACAATGAAAGTATTTCTATTACAAAAATAAAAATGGAAAAATGTCTCTCTCTCTGGACATTCACACCAACTAATAACATTCAGCCTGCCATCAGCTGAATTAGAAGGTACTTATATGAGGAATACATTTTTGAAAAGGGCTTCTAGTAGCAGCAGAGGATTTACAGCCCCCTATCAGAAACTGATCTTTATACTAGTACAGGGGTCAGCAACCCCTGGCATGCATGCCGAGCATGGTATGTGAGGCTATTTTCCTCAGCACACGTTGGGGCCGGGAAGGCAGCAGCTGTTTGCAGCCTCTTGGCTGCAGTCAGCCCTGGCTCTGTGTAGCTGCTGCCAGCTGGGAGCCCGAGCTGCTCCCAGCAGGTGCCTGGGAGGCTGCAAGCTCTGCTGGCACCATGGCTGGCAGCAGCTACCCCAGAGCATTGCCGGCTGCAGCAGAGAGACTACAAACAGCTGCTGCCTCCCTGCCCTGGTCCCCATCCAGCCCCAACGGGCACAGTGCCAGCACCTGCTGCCTCCCCTGAGCCCGGGGTGGGGAGACAGCTAGGGCTGGAGGCGGGGAGGCAGCAGTTGTTTGTAGCCTCCCGGCTGCAGCTGGCCCATGGTCTGGGTAGCTGCTGATGGCCACGGAGGCTGGGCTACTCCCAGCAGGTGGCTGGGACGATGGAAGCCCTGTGGGCTCTGTGGCTATCAGCAGCTACCCAGAACCTGGGCCAGCTGCAAACAGCTGCTGCCTCCCAGACCCAGCCCCAGGCTCTGGGGAGCATCAGATACTGGCAATGCTCCCCACTGTACTGCCCTCACTGCCGCTTCTGAAGAGCAGCGTGTGGAACCCAGTGCGGCAGGAGACAGCAAGGGCACAGAAAGCTGCCTGCCACTTCGAGCTCCCCACTGCCCTGGCCACACTTCCCCTGCAGGTGGGGGCAGCAGCAAGGGGCACAACCCTGTGTGCTGCCCACGCTGCTCCCGTGCACACAGGGAAAGTGTGACCCAGGCAGCGCAGAGCTTGCAGCAGCAGGCAGCTTCCCTGTGAGGCCCCTCTGTGAGCTGCTGCTCCGGGTTGCACACGCTGCGCTCCTGGCACTGTTGCCCTCCCCTGGGCCCTCTGGAGCGCAGCATGTGAACATGCGTGACCACCAGTGTATAGCTTCCCAGCAGGGCTGCTCCTAGTGCGGTGCTCGGGTGCCATTCAGCTCCCACCACCTCCAGCGGCTCCTCCTCTTCATGTTGCCCCTGCTGCTCTGGTGGGGAGGAAAGTGGGGGACTGCAGCCAGGAGGTTCCTGCCCAATGCGAGAGGGTCTAGCTCCAGCTCCCAGTTGCCTTCCACCCACTTGGCTACCCACGGGTGGCTGCTTATCACACCAGTGGTGCAGTAGTGGCCAGAGGAGCAGCAGGAGGAACCAAGCAGCATCCAGGCACTGGGAGCAGCCCCACCAGGAAGCTGTGCATGCTGGCCAGGGCTGGTGGACGCAGGCAGAAGCGCAGTGATGGCTGCCCCGGACAGGGCTTGTGCCCATGCAGAGCACTGCAGGGGCAGCCATGGACTGCACCTGCATTGCTTTGCTGCATGCACCCCCTGCCCCTCACTCCCTCCTCTATCCCCAGCTGGCTCCTGGGACTTAGCACCCAAGCAGCCTCCCCCTCCCCACACGTACCCATACTCTGTTTCCTGCTTTCTCTCTGCACTCCCTCCCCCACCCCAAGTCCCTGGTACATGGCTGGGTGCGGCAGGTTTTGCACCAAGCACATGGCCCAAACCAGTGTGTGGGAGTGTAGTGTGGCACCTGCCCAGCTGGGGACTTGGGGCAGGGGAAGGAGTACAGGTAGAAGAGAGGAACAAAAGTTAGGTTTCCCATACCTTTGCTCTCTCTGCCTGAGGGTGGAAATGGCAATTATTTGATCTGGAGGGCCACTGGGGGGGGGGGAAGAGGGTGTTGACCCAGCCTGTGACAGCTCACCCAAACTCTCTAGGTAGCCCTCCAGCCCAAATAATTTCCCACCCCTGAACTAGAGAGACATCTGGTCCCGCCTACTATGAGTTTATTTTGTCAAAAGAACTTTCTGTGGAAATACATTCTTCGATGCCTTGCCTTTCATCTTGTTTTCAGTTCACAACATTGCTGTTGCCATGGCTGGTAAGTGTGTCACAATCTCCTGTAGGCCTTGACCTTATGCTAAGGGAAGCCCACGCCCTACTTGTTTTACTCTAGTTAGAAAGTTATTTCCCCCTCTCTCTCCAGCCAAGCCCCAGCCTTGCTAGGAAGCTCACTCCCACCCAAGTTGGCGTCCTGCCAAGTCCCGCCCAGCTAGAGAGTGGGCACGTCTCCATGAGAGCCAGAAACAGGGGGAGTTTAAACATCACCCTTGTTGAAAGTTTTAACTAAAAGAGCAGGGCTTGGCCTAGGGCTTCCAGAAATGCCTTCCAGCAATACTTCTACAAGGGTCTACTGATTTACGCTAGAAAAACCTGCCAGAGCTGCAGGCTTGGCACATTAGTTATTAACCTTTCACCTCCCCTCCTGTTCATTATTATTTGTCCCAAGAAATCTGGAACACGTCACTAGTGGCCCCAGTACTAAAGGGGACTTGTAGTATTGTTGCGGCCTGGGCCCGCCGCGTGCTGCTCCAGGACATGCGGAGGGAGTCCTGCCGGCTGCAGGGGCCGGACAGGAGAGGTCAAGGCCAGCAGCGCCCGCGCCCCGCGCGGCCGGGCAGCTCCTGCGCTGGGCCCGGCGCCCCCGGTACCTGGTGTCCGAACTGGTTGCAGGGGAAGCCCAGGACGAGCAGCCCGCGAGGCCCGTACCGCTCCTGCAGCTCGTTGAGCTGCACGAAGTCGCGGGCCGTGGTGCCTCAGAGCGAAGCCACGTTGGAGACCAGGAGCACCCGGCCCAGCAGCGAGCCCAGCGCCAGCGGCTCCCCCCCGCCCAGCGGCC